GCTTATTTTTTAAATCCTTTTAATCTTGCATAGGTTATGTTTTTTATTTTAATATTTTTGTTTTTACAGGTATTTCATGTAGTGAATTTAATTATTGCAAATTCTAATTATTATAAGCTTAGACCTCTTGGGCTATATCAAATTTGCTTTTTAAATGACTAAAACCTTTTGCATTAGCTGTAAAATCTATTGAAGAACTAAGTGATGCACTAAATTCTGACTATTCAAAAGTTTCTGAGTCATTGTGTAACGTTTTTTAGCTGAAATTATTTTGGCTTGTTGTTTAGTTACTGGTGTTATTATTTTCGAAAGATTTTTCATTTAGAGAATTGAAATATTGATTAGATCTATCAATCATTTGGTTTTATTATCTTGCTTTCTGTCTCATAAAATTATAGATTTAAATCCTTTAGTTAATTTTTCTCTTTAAATGAGTTAGAAAAAGTGCAAATTTCTTTAACCAAGCGATAATAATCAATAAAAGCATAATTAGCATATTAATGCCAAAGCATCCACAAGATATATATATCAAAAGCCATCCTAATTATATCTTTGTCTCAGGACTATCTTAAAGCATATCAGTATAGCACATAAGAACATAAAAGCTAACCAATATCGATATTTCATTTAATATTTCTATATAATTATCCAATTATTTTTTAAATGGCTGATAGCTTATTAGATAACACAAAGTAAATAGAGAGCTATACATTAGTGTATATATCTAGAATGTTGGATATTCTCTAAGTATAACTATGACCCCTGTGAAAATAAATCGCCTTAGGATAAAATTAAACACATAAAGGGTACTAGAAAGTCTATCAGTTTTGTAAAGCTCATAAAGGGATCCATATTTCTAAATATTGTCTGGAGTATCTAATTGGTCTTAGTTTGTAATCATTAGAAGTAAAATTAGCATAGGGAAGAGAAAAATTAGTATCATCACAAATGTTGAGATAATTAGCCCTAACCTCTAACCTAATGAATTTGATATGCTTTATTCCTATTAGGTTAATAAGATTTCAATAGGCTTACTATTTGGAAATTTATCATTGCGCATAATGCTAGTTCTAAATAAGCCTCAATAAGAAATCTTATGTAATAATTCATGTATAGTTTGCTTAATACCCAATTATAAAAACGTTCAATTCTAAACAGAATTAATTACTTCAACTAAACTTACTTTAAACTGAATCTCTTGATCATCTTTAAAATAAGTACTGCGAAAATTATAGATACATTAAATCCAATGAAAATGAATATTGTTCCAAGATTTATTACTATGTTCATTGACTGATATCCATATTAAGAAAAAAAATCATTTATAGACTAGTCATTTTCATCTGTTATCTCTAATATTTGTTTATAATAAGTCTCTGTTGGTAAAATATTGAATGTCGCTAGAGTAAGTACATAATAGAAAAATAGCTGCACATTAGGAGGAGCATTAATTCCTATCATGGGTAAATGTGTAAGTATCTGAAAAGAATTTATAGCGCTCCATAGGTGTTGGAGTGTTTGAGAACTAATAAATGACTTAACAAGAGGAATATGTTTTACATCAAGAGGGTAGCTATAAGGTTAGTCCCTAAAACAGTATTAGAAGTTAATTTGAAGCCATATCCATATTTAGATAAAAGTAATGCAAATTCTGAAAGTATCTCAATTAATTTAAAATATGAAATTTACCTTCAGAGATCTAACTAGGGACTCCCCTTTACATAACATAGTTTGGTGTAAATCTATTAGTAAATCTATCATAGAATAATGACATATCTTTAAACTTTATGCTTAATTAGTCTTAATCCTAAATATTAAGTAATCAGTAATTAATAATGATTCTTACCTGGAACTTTGAGATTTAAGTTATGTCTTTGAAGAATAGTCTTATCACCATTGAGCTTTTGGTCACATCTTATATTTTATAATCAATGATCTCACTATAGCCTTAAACTACATAGCTTAATTCTATTTTTATTCTTTTCTAATCTATTACTGATAAATCTTTAGGCTTAATTATTTAATCTTTAAATCTTATAGTTACATAACCTGTAGCATTTATAATCACAATTTTCGCAAAATTAGTCATAGAAGTTGAATATTATGAATGATCATCTGTCGAATTCGGTAACCTTTTCTGTACGTTAATATCCATAAAATAAGTTTTTTTAATATACGGAAATTTCGTATTTTGTTTTATTATAAATTTCACTTGATATTTCCCACTATGTTTATTCTTTGGAGCTATTTTTACTTCATCTTCTTTTATGCTTAGAAATAAAAATGTTGCCCCATAATCTATTTTCATAGTAAAGTTGTCGAATT